ACGACGACAAGCAGACCTTCATACACCATTTTGACAGTGGCGATTGTTCCGCCTATTGGGGACATGTCCAACATAATGGACAACACCCAGAAAGAGAGGGTGAACTACACTTTCGATGGAATGACAACGCAAGCGCCACCTAGGCCCAGATTCAAGACAACCCTGATAGACGAGGTGGTCACCTTCAGGCCTCCAACCGATCCACCCGTCTTCGCCACGCTTTTGCACAGCGTGCCCACCAGCACTCGGCGTCCAAGAATAGTTAAACTCAATGATGGAGAGGTAAAGCACAGGTCGAGCGGTAAGGTGAAGAAGACCAACTTCTTTCCGAGGCAGAAGACCAGAGGACACAAGAGGAAGTTGGAAAAAGCTGTCAAGCGGCTCAGGGGCAATCGCAAATTGGTGTCGCGCGATGTCGGGCCTGTCGGAAGAAGGGTGCCTATCCCGCGTGGGTGGAGAGTGACTAATATACGAAGATTTTAAGGTAAGAAAATCTCTGCTTTGGTTACGAAACAAGCTTTAGTCTCGCCAGATTGAGTAGGATTATGCATTTACAACTCAGGAGATCAATCAACCACAAATTTCTGTAGTTTAGTTTCCTCAGCTGTCAAGATATTTTATCACTTTGACTTCATACCAGAAAGACATAACTGTACTCATTGGGAAGTGGAGCTGCTGTTCAGAGCGGCCGTTATGTTACTTACGAAAGGGGGTAGAGCCCCTTCTTTTGGTTTATCCAGGTTGATCGAGCTCGGAAAATGATATGCGCGTCTGGTACTCGTGAGATTAAGATAACTGCACTTTTCATCTCACTTTTTCCGAAAAGGTTTGCATTTTTCTTAGCAGGTGGGCAAGAAGATCCAAAATCATCGCGCAAAAAAAATCCTCCGCTAAGAATTGATTACTCATCTAAGAGCTGAGCTGCTCTCAGCTCAGAAGGGCTCAGTGTTTCAAAAATTTGTATAACTTGAAGTCACCGTCCCATATTTTCAGATAGCAAACTACATGGATGAATCAACGAGACCAATATGTCAAGCATTTCCTTATGCGCTTTTTAGCACATTAGCCATATGAAATCTACCTGTTTTGAGCACCATGACTGTCTGTAAAAAATGTATCATACATAGGTCTTCTCTCTCGCTTTGAATATACTATACATATTCACTTCTTATATTTGTAATAAATAAGCGCTCATTTTCACATCTTGCTTTTTGTCTTTCCAGTTTTCTGTCGGATAGTGCTTTCGATTTGCTCCCAATCCTCCGCTTTCATTTCGTGT